GTTTGATTACTTTATGGCAAAAGTCTGAGTTGGCATATACACTTTACAGACGGCGGAAGAGTTTATAATGAACAAATAGCGCAAAAGCGGAGAGTAACAGGTAATAACAGGAATCAAGGTGTAGCTGGTGGTTTAATGTGACGACAAATCCACAGCGAACCAAACGTTGCTGTGGAATGGTCTGTATCTTAACTACATGTAACGGAAAGCATTTACAATGTAGTTCAGTGGCATTTGGCGAACCCTTTAAGTGCAGTCCTATTGCAGCTGCAATTGTTGCCAATCATTATATAAAGGTATCAACCAACTGGTATACATATGTATGTTCGTATGTCTAATCGCAAACCATTTCCATAATAAAACCAAAAACAATCTCTACAATTTCCCTTAACGTTTGCTGTACCGACTGACACAGTTTTGAGCCAAGTTGCCATTACACATTTCGCGCTCCATAATCCAAAGTAAATAAACTTTTAAAAGCCGGATTCACACATACACATGTACCTATATATGGCAGTATCTTTGAATACACATTTCGAGAGCAACATTTGTACAACTTTTCCTCGAAAAACCCGTTGGCTACTTGACCGCAATGTCAAGTTCAACGCTTTGATTGGAAACTGAGAGACGAGACTGCTAAAATATATTATATACAAGTACCAAGCACCGAGTATTGTAAGGCAAAAGTAAAACTGCGAAACTAGAATCAATCACAAGATCATTCATTGTAGACTTTATGGGAAGTCGCTGACATTGCCGCCTAAGATCAACTGCCTGCCACTTGATGCATTTGCATTTCAAATGAGAGTTTTGTTTGAATGGAAACAGAGAAAAGATTTGCATTGGGGGATGGCTGACTTGTTGGTTTAATACTTATCTCCAAACAGAATGGAAATCCATGAATTGAGCAGCCATTTTAGTGAGTATTTTCAGATAAACTCTCTCCCTCGCTTTCAGAACTTAATGCCAGACACTAAAACCATAAACTAAACATGTGCACAAATACGTAATACTGCCTCGATTACGAGTACCAACACCTTGAATCTAGTTTAATTGGGATGCCCCTGGGGCCATTGGAAATTGTGGGATGCCATTAGCTGTACCAGCCAACCGGTTAGTACAAAAAAACGGCATCCCACAATTGGCTTTAACCGGCCCTCACTCACACACTCGAGCACATGACCAGAGGGCGGGATGGATTGATGGATAAAGCGTTTTGCCTAATGTTGGACAGCTGTCGGAGTGTTTTGTTTGTTTTTTTGGGTGGCAGTCTGTCTCGACTAGTCTCGTCTCTACTGCTTATCAGACATAAGTGTCGTCCACTTTGACTATCAGCTTATCAGCAGGCCAAAAACATTTCCATTGCCGCTCATTAATCAATGTTTTAACCTGCGAAACGCAACAAGAGACAAAACCCCACAAGGGATCCGAGTGAGAGCATACAGAACCATCCGAGCATAGGTTCAAAGAGATCACGTGGCTGTGATTAGCCACAAAATTTGCCTCTGGGCCTGCTAAGTATCCCAGCCGACATCGATGTGTTTCCATTGTTTTCCCAAGCTTCTTCGCATGATAGAGCGGGCGGCCCTTGTCCTTATCGGTCTGGAGTGGCCTTCACATAGTTGCACTAAGCTACACACCGTTCCGTACTGTTCGCAACCGAACCACGGTTGGAAAATTGATATCACATTAGTGATTGCGTAAGCTCCTCAATCACGTCATGGACAGTAGATACCACCACACATTGTCGAAACGAAAGTGAAGTAAGCAAGCTCTCAGGTGTACGCACTTCAATCATGTTGATTGAGACTCTCTGCTGGATGTATGCCTCGCCGCAGATGAACCACGCGACTTCTCTGCACTATAGAATGAAGAAAACTAATTTCGTAGCTGGGCCTTTATTTGTCTGATCTCTGGGGTTCTTATTTCGTATTCCGTATTTAGTTTTCAGTTGATGCTGCTGTAGGTTGATCTTGATAAGCGCTGATGGACGTGGAAGTACATAAAAGACCGGACTAAAATATTTGCTACCTCTTGCTTGGAAATTTATGGAGCACGCGAGCTTTTCTTTTATAAACCTGAATTCGTATCTTCTAATCCAAATAAAATAAAATAATATACTAAGGAAGTTAAACAGAGAGTGCGGCGGTGTGTGGGGAAAGTGTAGACTAAATAATAATGACAGTGTTTATGTTTGATTAGGGCTGCGTTGTCTTCTAAATGCGATTCTGACTCAGTGCCCACGAAAATGTGCTCAAATGTTGAAGGGTATTTCTGGGAGGGAAGTGAGTCTGAGTCAGTTGCCAAAACTCGCTATAAAGTTGAAGCTTTAATGTTTTACAAACATCGGTAAATGGTAGAGTTCAAGCCAAGTTCCCATTACCCACTAAGCAAAAACAAATACAGTAGCGATAAGTTATGAGTAATCGCTATGAGAGAGCTCTCCAACTCTTGTTGCCAACTGGTCCGTGCACTACTGTAGCTACTGTTCGGGTTTTGTATTCAGTTCAAAGTCTTATCAGTGGAGCAAAAAACTACTGCATGGCAGAGCCGTGTACATCTTCGATTGTGCCAAAACAATAGAGATTTTATTTTTTGCAGTGTTTTTTCAGCTTTCGTGGCGTATCCGTTGGATATAGATTGCATTTGTTTGGTGGCCTGGACTTTGATACTTTGTAGGGAAGGGAAGTTCTGGTGTGCCGCAGTTGGCAGATTTTTTATATCTCTTTGTTTAGATTTCGATTGGTGGCGGGCGGCATTTATTTATTTTCTATAGCTTTCCGAGGGGTTGACTGAGAAGTGGGACATGTGGGTCGGAAACATTTGCCACTTGCGCACGCACGCATTCCACTTCTGGCCGCGCAGCCCCACATGAAAAATTAATTGGAGCAGTGTGTTCAATAGACGTAAATGTTTCGAGTTTTCCATGCTATCAGTTTGCGCCTCGAGCGACCTTAGAGAGTCTGAACAATCACATCACAGCTGTTCTAGCAGGCAATCTTCAGTCGAAATGCTATCACAAACTCTCAAAAAATACAGGCACAACAGGTGTAACGACGTACGAGACGGGGTTTTTGCACTCCGATAATGGCAATTGTGTTGATAAGACTCACGTATGTTCGTCTGATAAATGAATCGACTAATCAGCTGATAAATGAACTGCTTGACAGTTTAATGGCTTATGCACTTTTTTGGAAATATAATATAGAATATGTATTCATTCCCTTGCAAATAAAAGAAAGAGAAAGTTGAATTAAATACTCAATCTAGAACGGAATCAGCCACTCGTGCAAGTACTCATTAGAGGGGTTTTTTTAGGTACGATTTTATCGAGTTAACCCACGCTGATCACGATTTGGTCACCCCCCCAAATCAATAAAATATACATAGAACTCGCAACTAAAAATACATGTATGGAGATATGAAACTCTTATTGGGAATGCAATCATCACGATCGGCCTCAATCACGAAATATTTGCATTGGCACCTTTGCATTTCATCACTGGCTCCACTCCACTCCTCTCTCTTTGCCCATATTAGGAGTTCGTAAAGAAGTAAAAGATAATGATCAGAGGAGGTACAGTAGGAGGAAAAGAAGGCAGCAATAAATCCCATAGACAGCATCGACAGTCTGACGACAGAGAGCGAAGCATCAAAACGGGAAGAACGACATGCATACATACAAACGTATAAAAGGGAATGCAAAAACACCAATAAATAGAACCCCAATCAGACTTGTGTATCGAGTGCGAATGCACCCAAACGAGGAGAAACGACGGCAAACAAAGGAGGGTACAAAAGGGGGAGAAGAAAGGCAAGCAAATGAAAACAATAAAGGCGATGAAAAAGCTGAGCAAAATGTACAATTAATTTGATTGGCCTAAATTGACAAGAAATCGAAAGAGGGCGAAGTGACGAGAGTTCAGAAATGAACCCCCAGCCCCCGCCCCTTCCACTGACCATGCCCTACCCTGCCTGAAGACCGAAATGTAGGAATCTTTGGTGTTTTTACCTTGCGGAAACAACTCGTATATAAAATGTGGTTGGCATTCGTTTCGGTTGCCAAACAATTACCGTTGCCTTTGTGGTTGCTGTTGCTGCTGCTTTTGTTGTTGCACTTTAGCTGGTTATTCGCGTTGTCTATTTGTTGTCACCTTCAACATTTGATAGCGCCCGTGTTCTGCTTTTGCCCCTGCCGCGTCTCTATCACTTGTTGCGAGTAAAATATTTGATTAACACTTTTCACAATCCTTTACGAATTTTAAGAACTTTTTGTTTCATAATTATCACATTTGAGACGCTGAGAGCCAACTGATTAAAGCTAATTATTATATTTTCTGCGACTGCTGGCGCTGGCGTTGGCATGCGTGCTTTTAAGCGATTCCGTTATTTCTCTTATTTTGTTATTTCGTCTTATTCAACCGATGAATGTTGTTGTTGTGTGTTGTTGTTTATTATAGCCAAGAAGCGACGCTTGCGACACACGGAAAAGTTTGTTGTTGTTGCTGCTTGCTGTCGAGAGCGCCAAAAAAAATATGCACACGCTAAAGGGAGACTCAGAAACTGCCCCAATATGAGTGCGACACGACACTGAGCTTGCGAGAGGTGAATTGTTGGAGCTAACTTGTGGCGGGGGAGAGCTTTCGACGCCATCACAGCTGTTTTGCAGTGAAAAAAGCCTTTCTGGCACGTACCTTGTAATGCTATTTTTAAGACCTTTTTAGGTTTAATCTTACTTTGCAACTAAAGGTAAGTAATGAACATCAGCCAATCTTGTGGGGAATCGAATGATGATTCGAGTAAAATTACTGTTTTAAAACTGAGAGTCTTAATCGGCGGCTAAACATAAACAGAAGATCAAAGTCGAGGAAAATGATTTAAAATGTACGGTATATTTACAGTATATTTAAAAAATGAAATGTTAGATTTCGGTATATTTCCGAGGGTCTGTCGGTATATTTGATTCATAATTTCACGGTCACACTGAAACCATGGCAGCAACACATTTTAAACAAGTTGTTTTTGAAATTTCGTTCACTTTTCATTCAATAGGCTTGGATTGAATTTGGAAAATCAACAAAATGGACAAGCCCCAGTTGATTGAGCACTTGAATGCGTCCGTTAATTACACGGTGTACGACACAAAATGGATTCCACTGTCTGCCAAGTTTGTGGTGCTGGGCTCAAAGGCGAACAGCCAAGGCGTTATGGACATCTACGAGCTGAACGAGGGCGAGCTGGTCAAGGTGAAGACTGTGGAGAAGAAGGTGGCCTTTAAGTGTGGCACATTCGGAGCTTCTTCATTGCGGAACCGGCACATTGCCATTGGAGACTTTGAGGGGCGGCTGCAAGTGCTGTAAGAACACGAGGGGCTGCTGTCATTGCCAGATCTGTTCATCTATTATTGTATTTTTCAGTGACATGGAGCGTCCCGAACTGCCGGTGTACAATGTTAAGGCCCACACGGGCATCATCAACACCATCGATGCCATTGGCGGCAACCAGGTCGACTGTGGTGCCCCAGAAATCGTCACTGGCAGCCGTGATGGCGCGGTCAAGGTGTGGGACATACGACAGGGACAGTCTCCAGTGGTGGACATCTCACCGCCACCCCAAATGGGTGACGGCATCAACCAAAAGAGCGCCCGGCGCGACTGCTGGGCCGTTGCCTTTGGCAACACCTTCAATTCCGAGGAACGAATCGTGGCAGCTGGCTATGACAACGGAGACCTGAAGCTCTTCGATCTGCGCTCGCTCTCCGTGCGCTGGGAGGCAACCATGAAGAACGGCATTTGTGGCCTGGAGTTTGATCGCCGTGATATACCCATGAATAAGCTGGCAGTAACCACGCTGGAGGGAGGACTTCTCATCTACGATATGCGCTACCAGCATCCGACTAAGGGATTCAGCTACGTGGAGGAACGTAATGCCGGCCGTAGCGTGGGCACCAACGGTGTCATCAGTGGCCCCAAAGCGACTGTCTGGGTGGCTCGTCATTTGCCACAGAACCGCGATATCTTCCTCACTGGCGGTGGCACTGGCTCCATACGTCTTTGGCAGTACGAGTATCCCGACAAGCGCGTTGTCGAGGACGCAGATGGCGAAAAAACGGGCGTGGCTGGCACACTGCACATGGTCAGCGCTGCCACACTGAGCTCCCAGCCCGTGCACTGCTTCGACTGGCATCCGGACAAGCTGGGCCTGGCCGTCTGTGGGGCCTTCGATCAGAGTGTTCGAGTCCTCATCACCACCAAGCTGAACGTACTTTAAACCATTTTTTCGTGATAATTCTTTCTTTTCTGATGTCCCTTCATATGGCAACACTTCAACACAATGCGGAAACACATGCCACACACAGTTGACATCCAAGAGGTCCTTCTTTTGCAGACAGACACACACACAAGGGCACAATTTAGTATGTAAAGAACTAAGATTAAATCTAGGCCAGAGACAGGCTAAACCGAGCGTTGAGTGTTCATCCGTTGTTGCACCACTTGGGTTAATTCTGCGATCTGTTTGTCCAGTAGGTCCACTTTCTCCTGCTGCTCTGCCGGCACGTTGACGTTGATGGCTCGCCGCAGGGCATTGAGACAGGATGTGCCCGACAGTCGCGCCGAGTTTAAGGTGGATGTAATCATGACTTCACTCTCGTCAGCGGCATGCTCCTGCACTGCTGCCAGGGCTAGCTCGGCTACCTCTAGGCATAGATCTAGAGCCTTCTGGGCATCCTGTGCCTTGACTTCCCAACCCAAATGCTTGGCCGTGTAGGCGCGATACGATTTGACCAGCCGCTCGGCCTTCTTTAGCGGTGTGGCAGCTACCACTGCAGCCAGCTCCCAGACCAGGGACTCGTTTCCATGCTGAATGCACTGCTGGCCGAGCAGTTGCACAACTCTTTTGATTAGCAGCGGGCAAGGTGCTTCCTGATGCTGCTTGGCTATGCCATAAACGATTCTCGCGAGCACCTCCTGGTCAAGGTAGTGCTGCTTCAGCTCGGACAGACGCTGATAGCCGCGCATGGCATCGTCCCAGTGGGAGGTGTCCACAGCCACCAGCATGTAGTTCTCCCACACCTTCCAGTTGCTGTAGTTGCACTTGAGTGCCTCGCCCAGCACTCGATGCGCTCGCTGCTTGTCGCCCAGGTTGATCAGGGCTTTGGCTAGGTTGTTCCACGATTCGAAACCGTTTGCCTCCAGGTGGGTGTAGGCCAGGTACGACTTAACGGCCGACTCCCATTTCTCCAGCTGCATCGCCGAGTAGCCGCAGCGCAGCAAAGTCGACTCCTGCAGCGTATTGATCTCCAGGGACAGCTGAAAGTGCTCCAAGGCCTGGGCATATTCTGCCCTGCGGTAGAAGTAGTTTCCCCAGTAGGACTGGGCCTTGCTGCTGGTCTTCTTGGAATGCAGCCATGCCTGTTCGTAGCACTGCGGATCATCGATGGCATCGCCCAGAAGGCAGTAGAGCAGTGCCGTTGGCTTCTTCTCCAGCTCCTGGCGTATAATCTCGGCTGCCTTGTGGCGCAGCTCCAGACTGGTATAGCAGTCAATCACCTGCTGCCAGGCATGAATCTTTAGGCAAATGTCCAGGGCAGTCTTGGTCATTCCCAGGGAGCGGAGCAGATCCACCAGCTGCAGCTGCACATGCCAGATGGGCTGTAGGTGGGCCGCAAATCCATACGACAGCCTAGACCTGAGCGACTGCTGCTCTTCAGTGTGGTCCAACAGCTTGACGCACTCCTCGCACTGCTTCCAGCTACGCTCCACTGTCCGGCGTTGGCCAGACTCCTGCAGGCAGTTCAGTAGCAAAGCCGCCTGTCGCACTTGCAGAGGTCCATTCTCCTGGTAGAGCAATGTCTGGGTGTACGGCTCCAGCTGCTCATCTGCTAGGCGGTCCTTCGGTTGCGAGCGCTTCAACTGTTTACTGTGGGGAAAATTAAGCATTAAAAGAGGTAATCCCTTGTAGCTCTCATCCATCTATACTCACACCTTGGCCAGTACGAGGGCCTGGAGTACACTGGGCAGCGTCATGACATCATTGTCCTTTGGCTCAATGAATCGTATACGTTCCAGTCGTGTGTCATCCTCCAGGAGTAGCAGCTTGGGCAGCTTTGTGTGCCTGTTGGTGTCGGCTGCTGCCGGTAGGTCAGAACTGGTGGTCTCTTCCGACAGCTGCTCCACTTTCAAGCAGAGCTGAGGCAAAGGTTTTTGCTGGAACTTTGTTCGCACGCCAAGCAAACCCTCGACTTTCAGTTCCACCTGTAGGTGGCCGCAGAGCTCATCCAGAACTTGCGAGGCCATTTCTGAGCGATGGAACAGCAGGTAGCCATTGGCCAGCTCCAACAGCAGCAGCGACAGTAGCTCTCGGCTGGCAAATTGTTTGGCCTGGGGCCGCAGCACCACAGCTCCCGCCTTGAACTGCTCGTAGAGGGAGGCTGCCAGATCATCCATGATAAGCTGATGCTGGCATATCAGACGTATGTTCCACACTGCCAGTACCTATTGCATCAACGTAAATTCTAATTATGGCAGACAGAAACCGAGATCTTACTTACCTTTGAAGCGGGGTAAGCTTCTAGCAAGCCTCGCAATATTTCCCTGGCAATAACCAACAGTTCGCCTGTCTTGACATTGGGATTCAACTCCTCGCCACTGGCCTTCAGCTGCTCCTGTGGCTCGAACGCCTCCAACTGCAGTTGGCTCAGCATTTGCTTGCAGTCTGCGACTTTGTCAAAGGGTCCGGTGCAATTGTTCTGCACAAACGCAAAGAACAGACGCAGAAAGCTGTTGAGTAGCTGCGTCGGAGTCTCATTAACGTCTTTATTCTGCCAGTTTGTGATGATCTGCCGCAGCTCCTGCACTGTCCACAGCTCTTTGCCGGTCCATAACTGGCGCAGTTGCTCATCCGCCGGTAAATCTTTGAATTAAAATTACAATAATAATAAGCAGACTTGGTGGGCGGGGATAACTTACCATCCGCTGGCACTGCATCGTTGAAATTGCATAAATAATATTCACTAAATGTGTCCTCCTCCAGCATTTTCAGTTCTATTTAATAAAAGTAGCAGATAAACAAAGACTTTTTCTCCACGTGCTCCACGTGATAAACAAGGCGGCCACTTTCGGCTCGCTTCTAGCTTTCAGCGTTTAGGTATGCCTCAAATGAGTTCCAATTGTCTTGCTCAGATCATTCAAAAGTCGTACTACGGTCAGAAAATCGATTTAAATCGTTGTTTCTAGAAGAAAGTTGTTTATTTTTTTGCGCCCACCTGTTGCTAGCAGTGTGACCGCGAAGTTATCGATAAAATATACCGTCAGGGCCTCGTAAATATACCAAAATATACCATTGCATCTTCAAAATGTACCGTAAATACACCGCAGTGTTAAATCAGATTCCTCGATTTTGATGTTCTATTTGATATTACTAGCTTGAAAAGACTTTCACCACTGAAGCAATAATTTAATCCGATTGAAGAATAAATTTTGCTTATTACAAATTCTCCCTTTCATTGGATTGACCTTATATTTAACAAATTTTTATTTGAACTTTTCCTTAAAAATGGCCCCTCTGGAAGCATGGCGGCTTTGTCTTCAGTATGTATGTATGTAACATGTTGAGACATAAAATAGCGCGCGCAACAAAAGACGAAAATAAACTCTATTGTTTTCCTGAAAAAAAGAAGGCAAGGGAGCTTTCATGGTGCGAATAGCAAATGGCAAAACCGTCCATCTCTTCGGCCTTTGCTTTATATCTGCAACTATCGATATATCGATTAGTAATCACCAAATACTTTTCCAGCACTGCAGAGTATGGATTCTTTTTTGGCGCTATTTTCAAACATATGGGATTAAACAATTTGAAAAAACTATTTATTTATAGAATAACACTTGACTTGCCAGCTGCACCCAATTTCATATAATTAGAACAATTTGCATCATTGCACAAGTCACGGCGGCGCCGACACAAAAGTTCAAATTTCAATTAAAACGCCCGGCGTCTTGTGCACACAAAAATAAATCCACAAAAATCCGAAAACATACAGATAAATATTTACATAAGTCACATGCACGCGAAATTGGCGAAGTTCCTTTGAATCTGCGTCCCGTGGGGATGGTTTGGTGTGGGGCGGGAGGGCGGTGGCCGGGAATACCTGTGACAGAGCGCAGCTTTTTTTGATGTTGTTGCTAATTACGAACCCACAAACACACACACACACACACGCATATATAGAAAGATAGCACACAGATGGGGACGGTCGGAAAGCTCTTTGGTATTTAATTTTTTTACGTCTCAACCGTCGCCGCCGTATATTCTAAATTTAAATTTCACGGTCAAGGTCGTCGATTGCCAACGCTTTCGTAGACTACAAAACGGCCCGGACGGTTGACTGGTGCGGAGGCGAAGGTGGAGGAGGAGGCAGTCTACGGGCACAGCGCAAGCAGCAGCGCCACAGAACGCAGTACAGTTTATGGGGGAAAACAAAAGAAATCGTATCTAGCAGATACATTGAATATTCCGGCGAAATTCGATAGCACAGTTTGCCAGAAGCTGCCTGTATTAGTGTGGTGCGATGGTGGTGCGGCGTGTGCCGTACCTTTGGTAAATGGTATTTTTATAGCACCGATAGATTGGATTGTGTGCGGGTTTCGTGGGTCCTGTTATCTGTGGCGTGCTGAGTCTTATCTGAGTCTGAAATCACACGAGTTCAAGGTTATCATATTTTAGCCATTAGCTTTGATCAAGAATCAATATGAAGGGCAAAGACTCTTCCCAGCACGAATAAAAAATAATTAACGAAGAATTGCATTTACGAAACCTAAGTACAGGACTAAGGACTATCTGCAAAATCTGCTTCGAATCATTTTTAACGGCTTCACAGCATTTAAGAGTAAATTATAAATTCAAATTTCGTTTTCCACCACTTTGCTCAAAAGCTTTCATCGCTTTTTCTCTTCGACATTACTCTTCTCTTTGCTTCGGTCTTTGCTCTTCGCCTTTTTCTTATCTTTCTCTTTGCCTGCTGGTCTGCTCTTTCGCTCTTTCGCTTACTCATGTTTTGGCGCGCTCGTTTCGTACCCCCCATCGACGGGGCCATGCCGGCACTCCGTTGCACCTAGCATGGCATGGGGCATGTTTTCCAGCTGAATGCCGCCAAGACATTGCATTGACTGCTCGGTCCGAACATCAACTGCGTCCAAGTCTTTGATGATTTGAGCGTATACTATTTGGAGGACAGTCCATGCCCCTTCTCCGTCACTTAGTCCTGAGAGGAGCCTAAAAAACAGGCGCGACGCCAGGGAGATCGTCAGCCATGAATAATGCACAGACGACTGCAACATAAGCCGCAATGCAAATGCGTAAAAGTCGGGATTCCAATAAAATACAAAAGTAAAATGCGAAAAAAATGCACCGGACCGAGAAACTTGCGTTCCTTCTGTTCAAAATGAATTTCTTATTGCGGCAGAGGC